TGTGTGTTCCCTCATAACTCCATGTTCTTATGTTTCTTGATCAAGCACAATGTCTTATAATGCTGCCAGGATGTAATCATGCCTGGAGCATGGGGAAACCTAATGAGGACACCCTTAAAAAGAATGGTCTCCCTCTACCAGCTCCTGAGTAAGGGGTGGGATCTAGAGAGACCTCCCACACCTTTGCCAGATTTCTGGCTGGCTTGATCCTGTACAAGACTTGAGCAGTAGCCATAACTGAGTAGGATTGCCATGTTATATTCAGAAGGCAGCATTTCACAGTGCTCTTCCTCATCCTCCATTCTTTCTGCCTCCTCTTTGGAGTTCTTATTGAAGCCTGAAGCACAGTTTGATTGCAGTGGAATTCTTTGAGTTTGAGGTGAATGGGGAAGACTAGGCCACACATGTCACCTTAAATAAGTTGTAACTCTTTTTGTCTACCTGATGGAAGGCCATAGGTAAGCTTTAAGAGTCTTCATCAGCATTGAAGCTTCCAACTGGGCAGCAGGAGCAGATGGATCAGAGGATGAATACTGATGTATATAGGTCTAGACACACAGCTCAGTGGAAGATCATTTGCTCAACAAAACACTCTGGGTACCATCCATAACACAAAAAAGAAAAAGAATTATGTGTGAGTGAAGTCACTTGATAAATGCACATTGTTATTTTCCTCTTTATTATTTTACACATGAAACAAAATTTGACTCAAGTGTGGTTGTATATTCTTGTAATCCCATCATTCAGGAGGCTGGGTAATTTTAAGAGATACTTTTAACAAAATACTAAATACACGAAACATGAGAAAAGGAGACTTCTATGCGGTTTCCCAAAGCAACATAATGCAGGAGGAGGAGGAGGGCCTGATCAAATAAACAGAAACACTCGAAGTTATACTACTTGTTAAGTTTATATCCCAACTCCTTTTTCCTTACTTTACTTGCTCTCTCCTTGTACTTTCTTGTCCTTTTCTTCCAATAGTCTCACTAAATAGCCAAAATTGTTACCCTTCAACCTCAGCCTCCCTTATATGGATTCAGGTGTGTGCCACCAGACCTGGTCTCACACCTATGCTTTACTCTCTTCCCTGCTCCTCTCCATCTTCTTTTTCTTCAGTTAATTTTAGGTTGCAAAGTATCTTCCTGAAGTTCAGTGAAGTGCCTCGGGGAGGCATTTTGTAATTCCACTCATCTGTAAGGTGTCCCTAGGATGTTCTGGAACCAGAAGCCTGACCCAGTGCCCCAGAGAAGGCACTCCCACCCTGGTAGTTATAGGACTGTGCCTGAACCTTTCTCAGCAAAGGGCCACATTAGTTGTTCTTGTTGCCATCATCATCTCATGTTGTTACAGAAATACTACTTTATGGTTTGTATATTCTAGACTTGCATTACAGTAGGTTATAATAGTAGAGGACATAAACATGAAATTCCTCATCCATCAAGACAGCTTGCTCAGAAAGCTTTGGTGTAAGTATTCATGAAAACCCAAAGTAAAATAACTTTGTTATTTTCACAGTGCCAGTTTTATATTATGGCTCCCATGCATGTAAAGTGTCTGTCCTCTGAGGGGCTTACCTCTGTGGCAGAGCTGCTTAGCAGAACATGTAGCCCAACTGCATGTGTGGTACACATGTGGAGGGGTGCTGGTGTCCCAGTGCATACCTGTCCTGAGTTAGGAAAAGGAAGACTGCCCATTCCGAACAGAGTTGCATCACTCTTTCCTAATGCCTCTTTGTTGCTTCTCCTCCACTGTCAGAGCCACGGGTCCTATTGTCAGGTTTTCCATTAAGGTAGAAGCATTATAGTTTTATTGCAGAATTCCCAGCTTCCCAGCTCTTAGTTTCCTAACGCTTTGAAAATAGTATGGGTGGCGTCTGATAGGAAAGACAACATAGATACTGTTAAGCCTATACTTCCAGCACTTGGTCAGGCTGAAGCAGGAGAATTCAAAGTTCCTGGACAGGTAAGACTGGAGTGTACAGTGAGACCCTGTCTCAGAACCATGAGAGAGAGGAAAGAGATAGTGCACTTAGCACTAAATAGTATTTGGTGTTCTTACAGAGGAGAGTTCCAGGTTCCGTTCCTAGTACCCCCATGGAAGCTCCAGTTTTAGGGGACCCAACCTCTGACTTCCTTAGGCATGAGTCATGTACATAAGCATATGTATGTATGTATGTATGTATGTATGTATGTATGTATATGTATATATATACATGCAAGCAAAACATATGCATAAAATCAGAGTACTATTTAAAGAGAAAGAATGCTTTCAACAAAATCTCAAAGCAGAGCTGAATAACAACACTACTGGTGGAAGTGTTTCAGTTCCAGGCTCAAGGTATCCTTTCTGGAAAACTCATCTTAAATCAATGTTTTTTGTTTTATTGGTCAGAACACAGGGTCTTTTCCCTGCTAGATAATGGCTATCCTACTGGCATATGTTATTCCCTGTCAGTTTTTTAAAATAGCATCTTGATCTAGATATAATTTACCATAAAATTTACCATTTTAAAGTATATAACCCCTTGTTATCTTATTCACCAAGTTGGACAACCATTACCATTGCCTTAATTCCAGAATATATTTTAACACACACGGGGGGGGGGGGCACAGAGAGAACACATACATGACAGAGAGAACACAGAGAGAGAGAGACCTAATTGATGATTGTGGCACACATACATACCCCACCACCACCAGAAACACACACATACACACATTTGTGCACATGCATACACCTACCTGTCCCTCTCCCCCCCAAGCCCCTCGTGTATCCAAGGTTGGCTTTGGATTCGCTATTTAAACAAGAATTAACTTGAGCTTCTGAACCCCCTGCCATCACCTCTCAAGTGCTAGGATTATATGTATGTGCCATCATGGCCAGTTTCACCAAAGTTTCATAATGTTTATAATTGTAGAAGCAGACAGAGCCCATAAGGTTCCTTTCTCTGTTAATGAGGGGCTGGGTCAAAGGTCCACAGTTCTATCTTAAAAACACAAATCTAAGACTGGAACATATAAGTGGAATTATAGACTATTTGTAAATTATTTGGCTATATTTTGTACTAGATAACTTTTCTTAACCTACAAATAACACACAGACAGTCCCTGATTTACAGTGGTTTAATTTAATAATTTCTTGATATTATGATGGTACAAGAGTGATATACATTCAATAAATACTTTTGAGACAGGGTCTCATTGTGTAATTGAGGTTGGCCTGAAATTGATAGACATTCTCCAGCCTCAGTCAGGTAGATATGATGCTGGAGAAGTAGCTGAGAGTTCTACATCCAGATCCATAGGCAGCAGGAAGAGAGAGATACTGGGACTGGCTTGGGCTTTTGAAACACCAAATCCTACCCCCAGTGACACACTTCTTCCATCAAGGCCACATCCTCAACTCCTCCTAAGTAGTGCCACTCTGTTGACTAAGCATTCAAACATATGAGCATATGGGACCAATCTTTTTTCAAACTACCACAGCTCCTTTGAAACTGGAGTTATGGATGGTTGTGAGCCTCTTGATATTGTCACTAGGAGCCTGTCTACTGAGCCATCTCTCTAACTCCACAGTATTTTTGACACAGTATTTTCAAATTACAATGAGATTATTATAACAATCTCATTGTGATTGAACTTTTAGTTTAATTAATACTTGTCCAGCATGCATAAAACTTTTGGGTTCCATCCACAGCACTGTCTAAATGGGATATGGTGGTGCATGCCTGTAACAATGCATTTGGGAAGTTGTGATAGAAGGTTAAGATGTTGAAAGTCATCCTCAGCTACCTTTGGAGTTTGAGGCCTGCCTGAGACACGGTCTCAAAACATAAACCAATGAGCCATTGAGTAAGCTCAATTCTTGGGACCTGCATAGTGGAAAGTGAAAACTAACTCCTGCAAGTTGTAATCTAACTTCTGTTTGCACACTTATATGAGTGCCTGTGCATGCATACACATATACACATGCTCACACATGCATATGTATGTGTGATATAAGGTTTCACTGTGTAACCTTAGCTGCTCTGAAGCTTGCAGAGTTTTTCCTGCCTCTGCCTCCTAAGGGTTGTGGTTAAAAAATATGTGCCACCAGCCTAAACCTTTTTTTCAGAATTCATAAACCATGGCCGGCTGAGTGACTCAGTGGACAAAAGTACTTGACACACAAGCTTTGTGACCTCAAACCACAAAGAGTATGAAAAGAGAGAATCAACTCAGCAAATGGTGTCTGCCCTCCATGTGTGCACTGTGGCACATGCACACACATAGTAGTAATAATTATATATGGCATGCATTTTAACTACAAATATGTTATAAATTTATATACATGCCATTTGTATAAAATAAATCATATATGCATGTATATCTACAAACATACATATGAAATAATCCAAAGGGAAATAAAATATTGCCTCTAAACCCTTCTCAATTAGCCACTCCCAACAGTTTATATTTTTTAGTCATTAGTAAGTACATAGGGACATTTAAATTTGTTTCTTGCCTTTCATTTAACAAGGTATCTGTGTCCTTATTTTTAAGGTTCTTGCTATTTTTACTGTTTTATTTTTTAATATTTATTTTTATTTTCTGTGCTGTATGAGTGTATTGGATCCTCTGGAACTGGAGTTACAGACAGTTGTGAGCTGTCATGTGGGTGCTGGAAAGAAACCCAGGTCCTCTGGTAGAGCAGCCACTGAACCCTCTCTTTAGCCCTGTTTTTTAAGTGTTCCATGTTGGTTTTGTTTTTTCTTGCTATTGGTAGTCAAATGTCTTCAAACTCTTGGTCTTCCTACCTCAGGCTGCACACACTGGGGTGGAGGTATGCATTCCTGTTCTTCAGTCTTTTCTGCGTATTCATTTCCGTGATGTGTGTCAGGTGCTGGCTCATCACAATGGAAAGAGCTGTCTTCTTTAAATCTAGGAACAGCTCACTGACTAGTACTTTATTGGCAAGTGTTTGTTGATGAATACTTTCAATAATGTCCCTTCTTGTCCCAGGACACCAGGACTCTTCAGTTTAATTGACACCATGTGGCCCCCAGTGATGCCTCTGGCCGAGCCTTCCTGTGGCCAGCCCAGTGGAGAGGTAAGCTCAGCCTTGGAGTGCTCCTTGTCAGAAGCTGAGTTAGGCACTCCTGCAAGCAGATGGGCAACAAGAACTACAGCTAGTCCTTTGTCTAGAGTGATGTGGGAATGCCATCTAGGACAGACTGCAGCTCCTCTCTAGCACCCCATTCTGACAGTTCTTTTCCCTGCTCCTCTAAATTCTTGATCAATTTTGGTTTGTATTTTGATTTTTGTGAGAAGTACAAAATAGGCCTTGCTCTAGAGCCAAAACTGACCTTAAACTAAGCAGTCCTGTGCTTCAGCTTTGCAAGTATTTGAATTTCAGGTGTATAACAGCAAACAAGTCCTGGTGTGATTCTCACTTACTGCTACAAGTCTTAATTAGCCTCATCCTGAAGCAGACACCATGCCCTTTCCAGTCCTTTGCAATTATCTAGAAAGTCAATACTCAGTTAGCAATGAAAACAGAAACTAGGTAGACTCCATAGCCAATAGAAATTTCCCTTTTCCTCACCACACTGTTGATTGTAGTGACTCTGAAGCAGCAAAAAGGATAAAGAAGTTTCTTCTCCTGTCCCTGGGGTTTGTTCATCAAGGTAGCTGCTTTAGTCTACAGTCTCTCTCTCTCTCTCTCTCTCTCTCTCTCTCTCTCTCTCTCTCTCTCACACACACACACACACATCCCTTTCCTTTCTCCCTTCTTCAACACCCCCTTGTCTATGGTGTGTGTGTGTGTGAGAGAGAGAGAGAGAGAGAGAGAGAGACAGACAGACAGACAGAGATGGAGACAGAGGGGGGAGGGGAAAAGAGAGAGAAGGGGAGAGATGGAGGGATAGAGAGAGCCTGCATCTATCTAACAGGTATATGTAGATGCCAAAGTGTTTTTGAGAGGATATCTCTCAAACCTGGAGCTTATCATATCCATTGCATTGCTTGGTCAGTGAGCCTTCAGGGTCCTTCTGCCTCCATGCCAGGCACTGATGTTCCATCCTACGAGCTATTGCTGGATTCTGAGAACTGAATTTTGTGGCAAGAACTTGAGCTCCTGAGCCACCTCCTCAGCTTCCTGTAGCTGGCTTTTTAACTGAGTGCTAGATGACACAAGAGACCATAGTGCTCCTTGGAGCTCCTGTCTGCACATTACACATTATTTAAAAGCAGTAATTTTTTTTTTTAAAGACAGGGTTTCTCTGTATAACCCTGACTGTCCTGGAACTCACTCTGTAGATCAGCCTGGTCTTGAATTCACAGAGATCTTCCTGAGTCAGTCTCCCAAGTGCTGGGATTAAAAGCATACACCATCACCACTCCACCAGAAGAAGTAATTTCTAAGTGGTCCTTTGAGTCTACTCTGAGGAATAGATTTCCTCTCCTTCTATTTGTTGTGACCCTGGACCTTGTGTGTCTTGGGATGACCTTAAAGTCTTGAAACCCCTGCTTTTTCCTCCCAAGATTTTAAATTACAGGCTTATGCTACCATGCCTAGCATGAAGACTAAATCTAAAATAAAATCTTAAATCTGCACAGAAATATTCTTATACTTGGTTCTTCAGATGTACAAAGTAACCCATTTCATATCTAGCCTTCCCATGAGAACAAACATCCCAAAACAAATTTGGTGCATGTGTGTGTGTGCATGACTGTGTGTATTCCAGTCCTAGAAATTGAAGCTGGGACCTCTTTTGTGCTAGGTAAGTGCTCTACCACTGAGTTATGCAGGTCTCACTAAGTGGCTCACACTGTCCAAGAAGACCTCCTGTGATCCAGGTAGGCCTTGAACTTGTAATCCTTGAGTTTCTGCCTCCCAAGCTTCGATCCCAGGCCTGCACAATCAAGCCAAGCCTGATTGTGTAAATACTAAAGAACTTATGTTAATAGTATTCTTTGATTCTTTTAACGAGACATTCTTACTCTGTTTTCCTTTATGTTAAACAGATAAAGACTTGCCTGCCTCCTCCTACCTTCTGTTATATCTTCTCTGTGCATCCGAGCCTGGGACATGTCAATACAATTGAAGGAGACCCAGTTTCTGAGCTCTACCAGCCTCCAGTTGTCCACTGTTTACGAGAAATCCTCCAGGTAATAGCTGATTCTAACAGGTCCTTCAAATGCTTTTGCTGTTCTATGCTGTCTGTGATGTTTTGGTCTTTGCCTTTCCAGACTGATGAGCAGGGTACACGCTGCAGCTTCTATGCCAGAGTGATTTATCAAAGACCACAGGTAATATCTTTGTCTCTTTCTGTCTCCCTGTGTGTCTCCCCTTCCCATCTCTTTCTCTAGCCTATGAATCATCTCTTAGAAATTAGTGGTATGCCATTATACAAAAATATCTCTAAAATCTAGGTTAATCTTGTTTGGGGCCGTCCTTCTCTGTATAAACTCTGTGGAGCTCTTTTGGGTTTTGCTGTTGCTGTGTTATTAATTTTGATTTCTCTTAGAATTGTTTCTATTGGGAATCTATTGCAGACATTTTTTTCCTGATCCATAGTTCGTGAAAAGCTATAGAAGTACCAAAAGAATATGTTCCTTAACTTCTAATTGAGCTACTAGTGGGTTGCATATATATAAATAAAATTCAAATTATGTCATCATAAACATAATATACTAGCTTCTTCCTCAATATAATAGAGGGCAGACTGTTCTTATAAAGAACCAGATAGTATTTTATGATTTTTGAATCATGCAGTTTCTATAGTAATTAGTCAGTTTTACTCTGCATTTTGTTGTTGTTGTTTTTGTTTTTCAAGACAGGGTTTCTCTGTATTGTTTTGGAACCTGTCCTGGAACTAGCTCTGTAGACCAGGCTGGCCGCAAACTTACAGATCTGCCTGCCTCTGCCTTCTGAGTGCTGGGATTAAAGGTGTTCACCACTAACACCTGGCTTTTACTCTGCAGTTTAAAAGCAGCCATATTGGTATTCATAAATGAATGACCAGGAATTAAAAAAGAAAAGCACTTTCTCTAAGTTTAAAGCAAACTGAAGGCTGACTCTGTAGTTTTCAGTGAGTATGCAGAACATCTGGTATATGATGACACTGTGAGCATCTGAGGCTTCCTATTATTCCATAGTTACGTTGTAGGCCCAGAACTATGGTACAGATACCATTTGCCCTGCAGGGAGATGCTGTAATGCAAAGGCAGAGAGTGAGGAAGACAGGGTCGAATACTCAGTGGCAGGTGGAGGGAAACACAATGGAAGACATATTAAGTCCTTCACTTTACTCTCAGGTCACTGGGTAGGTATGTGCGATAAATAGATTCCTAATATACAAGTACAACCAGCTTGCCTTTCAGTGGGGTTTGTGTCTGATGGGCCTGTATATAGGAACAAGTCAAGGACCCAGAACTATCATCCATGTTAAAATACTTTTTCAGGGTTACATGTATCTATAAGAGTTCTTTAGGCTGGGAAGTGGTGGCACATGCTTTTAATCCCAGTACTTGAGAGGCAGAGGCTGTCTTATCTCTGTGAGTTTGAGGCTAGCCTGGTCTACAGAGCGAGTTCCAGGACAGCCAGGGATACCAAGGAAACCCTGTCTCGAAAAACAAAACAAACAAACCAAATAAATAAATAAATAAATAAACAAATAAATATTTTGAATAATTTTATGTTTTAGAATAGTTTTGAGTCTACATCAAAGTCAAGGATAAAGTAAAAATCTCCCATGTGTGTCCTGCCTCACAGTACACAGCATCCCCCATTATCAACATTTTTTAACATTATAATTTGGAACAGGTCATTACACTACCATAGAAGTCCTCTGTACTCTTCCTAGTCACCCCTTCCTCCTTCAGACCTGTTAGCAAACACTGGAACCCAGAGTAACAGCATTCTCTAATTATGTAGCATGTACCTTTTTCAGATTGGACTTTTCTGTCTATACTAAGCATTTAGGCATCCATGTCCTGTCAGTGACTATAACACTCCGTAATAAGTATTCCATTATCTAGATGTCTCAGAGCTCATTTTCCATTTATGTACTGTGATGCTCAGTATTAATTTTCAACTTCACAGAATCTAGACTCTGGAATGCTTTGTGCCCACAACACACAAAGCCTTACTCTTGGCCCAGCTCCACCCATGCCTATAGCCCTCCTCAGGACATCCTGTGGCCCTGGCATCTCCAGTACCTTAGTGCTTTCATGCAGTGACCACTTAGGCCCTCCATACAGAGACTTAATAGGCATGAGTGAACTGAGCACCAGTGCTTCTTTCTCAGCTTTCTGACTGCTGGTGTAATAACATCTGCTGCCTCATACACTAGCCTTCCCTGCCTTGACTCACTATGCTCTACAAACCAATGTGTTTGCCTGTCTGTCCTTCCTTCCTTCCTTACTTCCTTCCTTCCTTCCTCCCTTCCTTCCTTCCTCCATTCCTTCCTTCCTTCCTTCCTTCCTTCCTTCCTTCCAAAGCCACAAGATCTTGTTTGCTCCCAAGTTTAAGCAATTATGAATAAGTTTAAGCAATTATGAATAAGAAAAGATTTATTTTAAATAAAATATAGCTTTTGAATATTTTTATAAAAAGATATTCTACCCTTATTACCAACTTTTTATGCCATGGTAATAGAAATAATTTGTTAGTTAATTTAAAATAAAATAAAGGAAAATGCTCAGCAGACAGGACTACTGACCTGAGCTCTATTCCTGGACCCCACATGAAGGTGGAGGGAAGGGAGAAACAACTCTATAGTGGTGTCATATAAAACGTATGCTTGTGTGCACATATACATCCCAACAACAAGAACAATAGTAATAATAAAATGCAAAATTAAACAAAGAAAAAAATTAGAAGATGTTAGTCTCTCAATCATTTGAGAGATAGACCATAGCCAAACCTCAAGTGTTGATGAAGAGCATTTATAGTTTTGCCCTTTTGGAGATATTTATCAGTTTTTCAAATGTTAGTTTTATAAGTCATTTCAGAAGTAACCTTCCTAACTCCAGTACTCAGCACATGGCTGTTCAGCTGGGATACTTCATATTGTTTATGTGTTATGACTTTGGTTTTATTCTAAGACTATGGACCAGTTACTTAGTAGAATATCCCTGGTATCTAACAGGTTCAAATTATGCATTTTTGATAGAAATACGACGAGGGTAATGCTTTGTTTTCATTGGGAGACACACAGTTACTTCCAGAGCTGTGATGGTTTTTCAGTTGGTCAAATGGCTTTTCAGGTTGTTTTGTTTCATTTTGAAGTTGACTAACAAATATTTTATACTTATTAATTCTTAATGATTTTTTTTTTGGAAAGCTACTTTGAGACTGTATAAATATCCTGGCTTTTCTCAGACTTTCACCCACTCATTTTAGCATCTGTTTGATTCTTGCCTGAATTAATAACTGTATTTTGATAGTGACAAAGTGATGATTTCTAACTTAACATTTCTTCTGCATTTACTAGGTGTCATTTTGCTATACTTATCTTTTCATTTGTCTCATTTAGTTCACTTAGTTATTGACCAGCTATGTCAAAATGGGTTAATGAATTCTTTATTACTATTTATTTAATTATTTTTCTGTTTGGCTTGGTAAACCAATAGGTTTATTGAGGTTGAGGTTATTTCTAGAAGTATATGTAGCACCTCTCCCACAATCATTGTTTGCTGAGTATATAATACTGGGGAGGACTTTGTGAATCTTCATGTTTTATGAGTTTTCTGAATCTTATGAGCCTCCTTCCACTCTCCAGAAAGCAGTCTCAATTCAAGTGAAATGGCTGTGATCCTCTGTTCCTTCCTGTGGCTCTTACATTCTTTCTGCCTTCTTTCTTTTCAGTGATAGGCCTTTACCCTTGGAAGAAGTAATATGATAATGGTTTTGGTTTTTTTATTTATGGCTGAACCTTGCAACAGTGTCTTTGTTTTCAACAGCTTGACAACTTACGGAAGAAGGGAGGGAGGGAGAAATATAAAAAGAGTTTTCCTCAATGTGCAAGGCTGACAGTGATGCGGGTTCTGGTCAGTTGGGAGCCTCTGCTCTCCTGAGCCATCTTTGATGACCATACTGGCCTTCAGAGCCTGGGTCCCTGCTTGGGAATTGGAAGGGAGCCAACATGGACATGTCAGTATCCCAGTGACCTTCTTACGGCTGTAATACTTCTAAGTCACACCCAAATGTGGATGACAACCTTGGGGAGCTACATTGTGTAGTCCCCTCATTTTTTTCAGTAGGTTTTATATAATTTGTTATGGTTTTTCATTTGCTGTTCATGTTTTCCAGATTTAAGCTATTTCCTTGGTCTATTAAGCATAGTCACCACATGTGGTGTTTTAACTACAAAATGTCTTTCAGAGGCTCCTACATTTTAATACTTAGTCTGCAGTTGCTGGTGCTGTTTAGGAAGTAATTGCGTAAAACGTCTAGGAAATAATAGTTTTTCTGGAGGAAGTATGTCACCTGGGGTGGGCTGTAAGATTCCTCTTGCCCCTTGCTGCTGTTGTCAGGGTTCCCCTCACTGTGCACTGTGTCTTTCGGAAACTATTAACTAAAATAAACTCTCTTCCCAGTTGCTTTTCTGATCCGTCATCTGTGTGTGTGTGTGTCCATCCATGTGGAGGCCGGGGGGGGGGGGGGAGGGCAGTTTATGAGATTCAGTTCTGCTTCTATCACATGGAAGATTGTCTTTCTTGGCAACAAGCTCCTATATCCACTAAACCATCTTTCAAACTGTTCTTTGTACTTTAGACTTTAGAATCAGCCCTTTCTTCAGATAGTGCTGGTGAATTTTAAAGAAAAAATGATACTTAAATGCTAACATCTGGCTCTAGGTAGTCTTGCTTCTATTGGAGTATAATTACTTTTAGACTGTGACGAGAGCAAGAAGACAGATATGGATATATCCCTGTGCACAGCTGGTATTTCTGTTTAAAAATCATGTTGCACACAACCTCCTACCATAGGCTATTACCACAAAATTTTCTCTAGATTCCTGTTGTATAACTTTCTCTCCAGCAGAATGTAGAGGCTTAGAAATGGAAGCAGGAAGATCAGGGGTTCAAGATGACCCTTGGCTCCACAGGGAATTTAAGGCCAATCTGGGCTACACAAAATTCAGTTTCAATAAATAAATAAATAAAACCTACCCTCACCAACAAGGAGAAAGCTGACTTGTTTATATTTTCCTTAGTAATATTTACTCTTAACTTATTTTATGTAATCAACCCCATAATGATATAAGCTTTCCTCTTCATCTCAGCCCACATCTTCTAAGCATGCTGCTTGCTCCAGCCATACCAGCTGAACTTAAACCAGTCAAGCACTTAGGCTCTGGGCCTGCACATTCTCCTTAACTTGTATTTATATCAACCGACAAGTTCTGACCTACCAATAGAGGCAAGATGCCAGTTTACTAGAACTTCCAAGAGTTCTAGTAATGCAAGTGACAAAAACAATATTAAAAAATTATTAAGCAAGAGGAAAAAGTAAGACAAAACTAATAAAAATGAAACCTGATGTACATGCAACAGATTAATGACATCTGCTTTATACCAAAATCCACTGCAGGGTCACAAGAGGTCTCTTCTAACCCTCAGGAAACAGGCAGGTATCCACAGAGCCAATGGGTCTGTGGCAGAAAATGGCACTCTGAACAGAGACACAGACCTGGGAGGGAATGAAAATGAGGAAACAAACAGAAAACTTGCCAATGAGGGCTGTGTTGTGCACTCTAGAGGAACCTAACAGGCAAGGAGTGGGCATAATAGCGTCAGTACTAGTAACATTGGTATGTAAACTTTATTGTATATTTTTAAAAAATGCTTTTGAAATCACAAATTACGAGTATAAATTACTACTAATACTACTTTTAAAGGTTTTGGATATGCATAGCTAATAGTTTTTTGTTTTTTTCAAATTGTAGCTAAAGAATCTTTTGGCACAAAAGGAAATATGGCTACTGGTGACTGACATTACCCTACAAATACAGGATGAAAGGGACCACTATCTTCCCAAAACCCTGCTGATCTATGTAGCCCCCTCATGTGTGCTGGATCCAGAAGTTCTAGAAGGACTTGCCATGGCTGTGCCTCAAAACATACTCTTCAGGGATGCTATTCGAGACAAGGGTACGATGGTTTCTCTTGAGCTGCTTCATTCATGCACTGTGGCCCCATCCTGCTCAGCAGTGCTGGCACTGTCACAGACCTAGTGCCAGCCTAGCCCAGACCACCTCAAGTTGTAGTAGACACTGTGTTGACAGCACCTATACTTGTGTGGAAACCACCTACAGTCATGACATAGATGTCCCTTTTTAAAATAAAACAAAAGCTAGAGAGCATGATCTATGGCTTGTCCTGTAACAAAGAAAGGCCTATAACCCCAAAATGAGTGACACTGAAGCTGGAATAGCGTAAGTTAAAAGCCAACCTAGGTCACACACTGAGGCCCTTTTATTTTTTTTATGTTTATTTTTTTATTTTTCATATTGATCCCAGTTTCCTCTCCATCCTCTCCTCTCTCCCATCTTCACATACACCCCGACCACCCTCCCATCCCATCCTCCCCCCACTCTACATGTAGGGTGATGCCCTCCAGGAGGGGTCATCTAAATCTGTCAAGTCATTTGGAGTAGAGACTAGGACTTCTCTCCTGTCTCTAGGTTAAGGGAGTGTCCCTCCATGGAGGATGTGCCCCCAAGGTCCTTTTGTGTACCAGGAATACATCCTGGTTCCACTGTATGAGGTCCCTTACACTGCTCAGTCCTTCTAGTTGAGACCCATGTTCAGGGGCTCTGAGTCAGTCACATGCTATATCCCCAGCTATCAGTCTGGGGGACTGAGGTCCTTTTATAAAGTAGGCTTTAGATCAGTCCATACCTTTTCTTGGAATCAAACACTTAAACTTTTTTTTCTTTATTTAGGTATAATTTGAATACCACAAAATTCACCCTTTGCAATTGTATTTGAATGTAGTGTCTATGTTTTTTCCCATTGTCACTGGGAGCTTTAAGATGTACTTTCATGTGACATTTACATGCTTGACATGCCTGACATAAGAAACAGACAAGCCCATATCTGCCTTTCTTCCTATGTAAGTTGGAATGGCTGGCAAAGGAGACTGGCTAGAGTGTGTATGCTTTCCTTAATTGTTGAGTAATCTGAAGTGTCTCCATGGCAGGTCAGATTGTTTGTGCTGAGCGCACAGTCCTCCTGCCCCAGAAATCCCTCTTGTGTGCATCTTCTGGTGCTGGTTCCTGTGACTTGCTTGGCCCAGTGACACTAGATGAACTGGACTTCCTTACACCTGTCAACTCCATTTGCAGTGTGAAAGGTGGGTAGCCCTCTGACTGGACATGTATTATTTTAAACCTACTGCTCAGTGAGTTTTATTGGGTGTCTGTATTCCAGACATTGGATATATAGGGACAAAATAAAAAGAGGGTCTTTGATTTTGGACTAGGAGCCTAAATAGGAAGTTATAAAACAAGTAAGTGTACACACGCACGCACACACACACACACACACACACACAAAAGAAAAAAAAACTTCAGTGTTTCAAATGAGGCTCTTACCTTGCTGAGTAAGATCCAGGAAGGCTCCCTAAAGACTGGATCCTTGATCCTATGAGATGGTTCAGCAAATGAAGGTGTCTGCCCCCAAACCAGTGAACTGAGTTCAGTCCCCATTGTTGACACAGTGTAAAAACAGAGTCAATTCCCACAAGTTGTTCTCTGTACTATGATGTGGGATGTCTTTCTTACTCTGTGAATATATGTTGCTCTCATTGGTTGATAAGTAAAGCTGCTTTGGCCTGTGGCAAGGCAGGATAGAGCCAGGTGGGAAATAGAAGCAGAGATACAGGAGAAGAAGGGTGGAGTCTAGGAGACTCCATCTAGCCACCCAAGGAATAGCATGCAGTGGACCGGTAATGCCACAGCCATTTGGCAATACCTAAGTATTAATCTAAATTAATAGAAACTGATTAATTTACATGTAAGAGCTAGCTAGTAGTAAGCCTGAGCCACCAGCCAAACATTTATAGTTTATATTAAGCCTCCGAGCGATTATTTAGAAATGGCTACAGGGCCAGGCAAGTCAGAAAAGCATGCATATGTATGCTTGCATGAACATACAAGCAAATGCAAAATAAATATTTTTTTTTTTAGGTTCCTGGATTCATAAGTCAAGATCTAAAAAATGCATCAATGATTGGGACAAAGAGCAGGATTTAACAGATAGCCAACAGGAGATAACTGATGAGCCAGTGGAGAAGGGTAGGTAGGCTAAAAGATGGAGATGAGTACCAAGAGGAAGCTGAAGGGACAGCTAGCTGTCAAGAGTATAGTCAGTTGTGCACAAAAATTGGCAGCTTCAATATTGACAAAGTCACAGATGTTACCATCTGCACACACAGAGGACACCTGTGATCACAACACAGACTGGAGGGGATACAGTCTAGTTTCCATCCTGTAGGTAGAGAGCCCAGAGAGGCAATAATGCAGTGACAGAGAAGTAAACACAGGGCAGAGAAGTGGCTTCATTAGGAAGAATACTGGTGGTTGGGTCATAAGTCAGATGAATAGGGAGCAGACATACAGTAAGAACAGGTACAGTGACCTGCAAGCATCAACGTCAGGCCATGTGGCACTGGTAGATCTTCCCCAAACAGGACATAGAATATGAGGTGTCTTTCTTGAGACTTTGGATAGTTTATTGTTTGTGCTTATTTTTGTTATTTAGCATGTGTTAATTATGCATAATAATGGTTTTCATTATGACATTTTCATACATATATATAAAATATTATGATCATATTCTCCACTTATTGCCTTCTCTTACTCTACTTACATCCCTGTTGATCCCCTTATTTGGGTGGTTGTTTTGTTTGGGAGCAGTTATATTTTTAATATGTATCTTATTTTTAATTATGTGTATTTGTACGTGTCTGTGAGAGTATGTGCACATGAGTGTAGATGCCCTCAGCAGCCAGAGGTGTCGGCTCCCACTAGTGGAGCTGAGAACTGAACTCAAGAGCTCTCTAAGAGCAGTGCACACTGAACCCTTGTACTGTCTCTAGAAAAGTGCACACTCTGAATGCCTGAGCCATCTCTAGAGAACTGCACACTCTGAATCCCTGAGCTGTCTCTAGAGCAATGCACACTCTGAGCATCCAGGTGTAATTTAACAAGATTATAAAATAGCTGGCTTGGGTGTTTTTGAAGCATGGAGAAGAGATGTTTCAGCAGCTGGTGGCTATATAAATCCAGAGATGAAAATAGTATTGGTGTTTTCTTTAATTTTATAAAAATTAATTCATAATAAAAATAACATATATATATGTATATATATATATATATATATATATATGAGCTAGGTAAAGCTGAACTTGGGTAGCAATCTCCTGATATATAATATATTCTATACATTTGTACTGTTGTGTGTGTGTGTCTCTCTCTCTCTCACACACACACAAACACATACACACACACACACACACATACACAGCCTTGGAGGAAATGAAATGTCCTAGGCAGGGGAGCCAAAAGTTTATACAGCTATGGGTAGGCCTTAATGGACAAGTTACTCCTCCACCAGCACATACATAGGATGTCCCAGTACATTCTTGGATATCGTTTCCAGTTTCTGTAAAAAAGGATGTCAGGGACCAGGACTATGTTTTGTGGTTTTTAGTTTTGTGAAGTTCCAGAGATGGAACCCAGGGTCTTGTTCATATAAGTCATGTACTGTACCACAGAGCTATAGAAAATGGTCTTTTGAAGTTAATTTCCTCTCTAAGCATAAGAAAGCATTTTCTTGCTGTTGGATGAAGATATCAAATAATCAGTCACCATCAACAGGCAGGAGTGTTGGTTTTGGGTTACACTTGTGAATGTCTTTGTCCTACAAGTTCATTATTGTCATGGCAGAAAGCATGGTGGCATGCAGGTAGACATGGATAAAGGAGCAAAGAGTTCTACATCTGGAACTTCAGGCAGCAGGAAGAAACTGAGCCACTGGGCCTAGTTTAAGCTTCTTAAATCACACCACTAGTGACATACTTCCTCCAACAAAGCCACACCTGTTGTTCCTTAGTTACAGTTATAAGAATAAAAGCTGGAGAAGGGTGGTGGTCCCGAGTGAGGGTCCCAAGTGAGTGGGGGTCCCAAGGTAAGGGACCACATGAGAGAGCATAGCAGGTTCCATAGCAGGTGAGGGTGACCAAGATGGAGGGAATAGCATGCCAGGCAGATAGAGCTTAAATGAGGAGTTTATTTAGAAAGGGGAGTGAGGGGGAAGGGAAGAGACATAGAGGCACCAGGAACAGAAGAGGAGAGAGGGGGAGGGAGAAAGGGAGAAGAGAAGAAGAGGGGGATAGCTTGTGGCCAATGGAAAGCAGGAGGGGAGGGGGTGTAGCACTTGCTTTAAAAGGGAAACTTGCACATAACTGAGTCCCCTATGCAGCCCCCCCAATGACTGATGTAGCAATGACATGGCCATGCCTGTCAGAATGCAGGTTTCCAACAACACCTACTCCAGCAAAGCCACGCCCCCTAATAGTGCCACTCTGTGAATCTGCAGGGCCATTTTCATTCAAACTAACACAGTATAGGATATGAAGGGTCTAAGAAACAAGTGACGCAGTGTCTACTGTCACGTGATCAGTCAAGTTGGGGAAGTAGGGGGGTAAAACAGCTGAACATTGAGTACAAACACCAGAAGATAAAATCTAAATGAGAACTGTAACAGGCACCTGAAGAGTGCAGCCCAGGAACTGGCTCAAGGGCGAGAGGAGTGGGCTAGGTATGGAGGCTGACAGCACAGGACCAAGGCAAGGAAGGCAATGTGGCCATGCAGTTGGCAGTATATACCAGAGATGAAGATGGCTCCCTTGGATGGACTGGTGTACTTGAGAACATCCTTGCCAACTTACAGTCAATTCGATATTAAAAGAAAAACTAAGAAGTGACTGAGTTTACAAAACCAGAGAAGGATCTCACCCCTCTTGCCCCTTCTCTCTTCTGTGTCTTTATCTCCCAATTTTTGTTTGTGTCCTGGTGATCAAACCTAGCACGTGGCAAGCATTTCACTTCAGAGGTATAGCCCCTGCCCCCATTGACATTTGTGAAGCTAAAATGTCATTCTCCACCAGAGCAAGATCAGCAAACAGTGTCTACAGATAGTGAGTCAGAACTAGAAGGCTTGGTTTGGTAAAATATGTTCATGAAATGCAAACAAATGACTTAAAAAACAAGAATAGGTCAGTTTTGAAGAGTCTGATTCAACTAATGACATTGTTTATAAATAAAATAAAAAGTGTGTCAAATGGATGAGAACAATATTTTTCATTTCTATTGATTATTTGAAACTGCCATGTATTTTTATCATATTCCTCAAAGACCCACCTTTCCTTCCCTACCCAGTCAGCTTCCTGTCATCCTCTGCGTCATCCAGTATGTCTGCCATGTACTCCTGAATGTTACTTTTCACTGAAGATTGGCTAATTCACCAGGGGCTATCCCCTTAAAAATGGGTTCTTCTCTGCTAGTAGCAATAGCTGCCAGTAGCTCCTTAGCTATGGAGAGACAGCAGGAGGTTCAGAGGGAGACACTAGGCATCATCCTGAATGGCAGTGGATGTTCTCCAAACTGGCCACCTTGTACCCCAAGTTTCCTTTTATAATTTTTTTCCCTCTCAATACTGAGTATTAATCCTAAGGCAAGCACTCCTCTCTGTAAATGAATCAATACAAAGTTCCATTTATTCAGGGTTATCTGGAGGTGTTCACAGCCCTGACCTTTATGTGGGATTATGTAATCTACTTTCAGTTAGATTATGGTGAGAGCTGAAGAAATGTGCTTTATCTGCAATTTAAAAGCCACTGGAAATAATTTTATGTAATAATAAGCCAAATTTGAGGGAAGTAGTTGGTGTCCAAAGCATTATTTCACATGAGTGAGAAAAACAAGCCTGCCTTATTATCGCAGTAAATAAGGATCAGGATAAACAAATAGGCCGAATAGATGTTTATTCAGGTAGAAATAACTTACAACCTAGACAGATGAACACCAGGAAATTCAACCCGATCCTCTCCTGTCTGAGTCACGACAGAAAGAGAGTGCCTTTCCTGGCCCCCTCCGACCTCCTTCCACAGGTCACTTCCGCCCATGGCTCCACCTCCCAATGGGCGTGGTCAGTGCCACAGAAGGACTATCTCACTACAATTCCCCTTTTAGTCTAAAGAAAAGATTTAGGCTTAATACAAACTATATACAAAACAGTGAATAACAAGTGTGCTGGCTTTTCATGAATAGATACAGGGAAAGCTCCCCTGACCCTAAATGGTGTGGAAAATTTTAAATCTTTTTCATGCCCTGTTACCTGTAGTTCTTCTTCTGATGTATCAGACTGAAGGTCTTCTAAAGCCTGAAATCTATTCACCATTGTTTCTTTGAGTGTCTGAACTTCTTGAATCAAATAACTTTCTAGAGACTTCATTGCATCAGTCAGTTTCTTACTTTCTCCAACTACAAATGATTCCATGTTTTTAATCTTATCATCCTTAGATATTATCTGAATAGCGTGTAAACTTCCTTCCAGAAACAATGTTCTATCTGCTAGCTTGCCATTATCCTCAGACATGGAAGAGATTCTGTCATCTAGTCTTTCTATCTGATGTTCCAGTTTTTTAAACTTATTAGTTGCTTCCTCCGACCAGGATTGGGCTGTTTCTGCTAGTTTGTTAATGCATTGCATTGTTTCTGTTCTGGTTATTGAGGTATCTGACATGAAACAAATTATACCTTTCAGCTCGCCAACGCCATCTTCAATATTCTGAACCTTTCTTTCTATATTTTCTATGCTTTGAATTCTATCATTTTCAATGTTTCGAATCTTTGTCTCTATGTTTTGAATTCTATCATTTTCAATGTTTCGAATCTTTGTTACTAAGTCTCCTATGGTTTGTACAAGTTCCTTATTGTTTGCTGTAATCTCAAACCATTTCTTTAAGAATATCATGTTAATGATGAAACCCATTGCTCTTACAAAATAAAAGTATATATTGGTCCAGTCTTAAGTTTTTCTGCTAAAATCCCTTCTACATATGAAGTAAAATAATTCCTAAAGTTCTGCATAGTAAAATTATCTGCCATAGTTATGGAACAATTTATCTCAGATTTTATATCAGCTTCAATTGCAAAGGATGTTACAATTACCTTAGGTGTAATTCAGCTGTCCTGGAACTTTGATGCTTTTAGTTGTATATCTCAGCTTGTGGTAGCTACGCCTGGAGGTGTGTCACCAAATAGCTCCTAGCCGCTGAGGCTCATCTGATCCCGGTTCTGCAACCTAGAAGTGTGCCGCCAAATATTGTCTGGCAGCAGACGATCCTTCTGATTCCGGTCCCTGTAAAATAGTTCTTAACAAACTATGACAAGCAGAATTTTGTTAAAAGGGGACTTTTGGAGTTACTTGTAACACAAGACGAAACGCGTGCAATCCAGGCGGGTGCCGCCAGGCGGGTGCCGCTGAGCGGCTCTGAGCAAATGCAAAGTCCCGTGCGGAAATGGGCAAAAAATGTTAAGTGGTAAGTGCCTTCTCAGGTCTGCTTTAGTGGCAAAGATCTCCTTTGCAGTAAGGAAGAGGCAAATGTCCCAAAGCTGTGGTGAGTCCACCTGGTTAAACCCTGCCCGTTGGGGAAGGTGGGGGGGGGCGGCTTCTGCCGCCTGGGGGCAAAACCCAGGTAAATCCCACTTTTGACACCAGATATCGCGATAAATAAGGATCAGGATAAACAAATAGGCCGAATAGATGCTTATTCAGGTAGAAATAACTTACAACCTAGACAGATGAACACCAGGAAATTCAACCCGATCCTCTCCTGTCCGAGTCACGCCAGAAAGAGAGCGCCTTTCCTGGCCCCCTCTGACCTCCTTCCACAGGTCACTCCGCCCATGGCTCCACCTCCCAATGGGCGTGGTCAGTGCCACAGAAGGACTATCTCACTACACCTTATGTCTTGCACTCCCTGCTAAAAGCCTACCTTTACTCTGTCTGATACAAAGAAATTTTTCACAGATAGGCTCAGGAGAGGTACATATTAACTACTAGACCATCTTTTTAAAAGATGTTTCCAAGGGTGGATGTAAAGAAGGAACAATGCCAAGAACAAGCCATATCCAAGAGTCTGCACCTGGAGATGTCAGGGCAAGACAAGAAAGAACCTGAGAGGGACAATGCTGCTGTAGAGCAGTGTGCACCCAGCTTTGGGTGAGTTTGCTCGCAAGGCTGGCCACAAGCCTTTGGATGGACATGGTATCTAGTAAGATCACTCTACTCTCTGCCATCGCCTTACTGGCAGGAAGAGCCAAGCTTCACTACTTTGCTTTCTCTTATCAGAGGATCTTGCAGTATCCTGCTCCATGATATTGTGTTTATACACTAGGCTTGTCCACCATAGGCCTGCAGGACACCTTCAGAGCTAGCCAGGAAATGGGAAATCATAGTGAATGCTACTAGAGAATAGAGATGGGAGGAAAATGTCAGAAATATAGGTCTATAGGAAACATACCATTAGTGAAATTTATTGACAGGTAAAGTATTTTTGATTTAATAGGTTTAAAAAAATGACAATAACAGCTGGGCAGTGATGGTGGTGCTCACCTTTAAACCCAGAACTTGGAAAGTAGAGGCATGCGGATCTCTGTGAATTCAAGTCCAGCCTGGTCTACAGAGTCAGTTCCAGGAAGGCCAAAGCTACACACAGAGAGAAACTCTGTCCTAAATCTACCCCCCCCCCCAGAAAAAAAGAGAGAGTGGTACTATTAGGGGGCGTGGCCTTGCTAGAATGGGTGTGGCTTTGTTGGAGGAAGTGTGTCACTGGGGTCAGGCTTTGGGGTCTCAGAAGCTCAAACCAGGACCAGTGGCTCTCAGTCTCTTCCTGCTGCTTGAGGATCCAGATGTACAACTCTCCTCTTTTTCTCCAGCACCAGGTCTGCCTGCATGCCTCCCTCCATGTTTCCTGCCATGATGACAATGGACTATATTTCTGAACCTGTGAGGCGGTGGTCATGGTGTCTCTTCACAACAACAGAAGTCCTAACTAAAACACATGATATCACATTCATGTTTATTTACTGACTAGGTCATAAAATTTTTTTAGAAAATTTATGGTGTGTTTGGGGGGCAATGGGGGTAGTATATACTCCATTGCTCATGCATGGAAGAGATCAGGTGTCCTGCTCTGTCCTTATCCACCTTACTTAAGATGGTATCTCTTACTGAACCTGCAGCCAACAACTCTCCTGTCTATCCCAACAGCTGTGGGGTTACAGGTCCATGTACAGCCATGATTGGCTTTTTTTTTTTTTTCTTTCTTCTCTCTCTTTTTTCTAGGTGATGGAAGCTTGATCTTAGTTCCTCACGTTTGCACAGTAAGCCCTCTCAACTATTGAGCCATCTCCCCGACCCTATAACTATATATATTCTTAATCACAATAATCAAGTAAACTAGAAAAATCAAATACAAGAAGGAGTTAACAAAGCAGTGAGTAAGGCAGGCAATTTCAGAGGCAAGGAAGCAGGTCAGTGGTGAGAATGGCCTTTCTTCTCATTAGGAACTGTGGTTGACATAGATGGGAGCGCTGCCTTCTCGCGGCCTCTGTGTGACCAGTTTGGCAGTGGGAGACTGGAACAGAAGCCAGAAGATGGGTAAGGCTGCCTGAAACCCCTGGGGCCCAAAAACACTACAGCAACTCAGCTCCCCTTCTCTCTGTCTGTGGGTTCCCCAAGCACAGAGGAGAGTCCACTCTGCTGAGCTGTAGGACTGAGGCTGTGGTGCCTTTGTGGGCTTTCCTAGTGGAGAAACCTATCTTTGTTAATCTTCCTGTCCTTGAAAATGTAGAACTGAGCTTTGTACTTAGCTTTCATTATTAGAAGAAGAAAGAAAAACTACAAATGTCAACAGGTAAGACAAGCTATGTGGCATGTGCTAGGAGTCCTACACTTTCTCAGGGGACAGTGAGCACCTGTCACTAGACATTCCTTTCCTGCCCATTTTTCTTATCGCCCTGGACTGAAGTCAAAGTTATGATTTCTGTGCTATGATGAAATACCAAGACCAAAAACAAGCTAAAGAGGAAAGGGTTTGTTTGACTTAGACATTGTAGTTCATCACTGACGGAATTCAGGATAGGAACTCAAACAGTACAGGAGCTCCTGTAGACAGGAGCTGATGCAGGGAACTGATGCTTACTGGCTTGTTCCCCATGGCTTTCTCAGCCTGCTTTCTTACAGAACCCAGAACCACTAGCTCAGGAACTGTAGACAGACTGTCTGTCCCACCCAGTCCTGCAGCTATTTAGTCCCAAATAAAAACACAGGCTTATATTAGTTCCAAACTGCTTGGCCGATGGCTCAGGCTTCCTATTAACCCATTTCTATTAATCTATGTATCTCTACATGTTCTTGGATTACCAGTGATGCACAAGCCTCTAGCTTTCTTGGCAGCCATATGGCATCTCTCTGGTGACTCACTCTCTGTGTTCCTCTCCCTAGCATTCTCCTACTCTGGTAACCCCGCCTATACTTCCTGACTGGCTAAATCCTGCCTGTCTATTGACCAAAACAGCTTTATTCATCAACCAGTAAGAGAAACATATTCACAACATATGGAAGGACACCCCATCTGGGATAGCACAAGCAGCAATGGCCTGGCCCTCCCCATCAGTCACTAGTTAACTCCCTTCTGCCTGCATTTTCTCAGTTGATGCTCCCTTCTCTCAGATGAGTAGTCTGTGTCATGCTGTCATACAGCTAGTTAGCACAGTGTCAGCACTATTTGTTTCTCTCGAGTTGCTTCTCTGCCTCCTGGTGGACTTTGTCACATGACAGACCAAAGAGTGTTCTCATTACCTGTCTTGTTTCCTAGAAACCAAGAGCAGAAATAAAGATGCTCAGTAGTTAAGAGCATGGGCTGCCTCTAGAGGACCAGGCTGGATTCCCAGCACCCACATGGCAGCTCACAACTGTCTGTGACTAGTTCCAGGGGACCTTGTATCTTTTTGGCCTCTTCAGGTGCCAAGAGTGTACATGGTGGATAGAATATGTACAGGCAAAACATCCATATACATAAAAAAATATTTTTTTTGCGAAAGGGTTTCTCTAGCTTGGGAGCCTGTCATGAAAGTCCCTCTGTAGACCAGGCTGGCCTCAAACTCAGAGATCTGCCTGCCACTGCCTTCCGGGTGCTGGGTTTAAAGTTGTGTGCCACCACTTTCCAGCCATAAAATAATTTTTTAAAAGAAGCATCTTCTTTTAAAAGAGGCATCTTCTTGATGCCTACTGGCTTTTTGGCCTTGTATGTACACAAGTCACTTCTGAAATATGTCAAAGAAGCAAGGGAGCCTGGGTCCATGTGAGATCACTATAGGAGTGAAGATGTTGATGAGCAAGCTTTCCCTGCTGGGAGGGTGGAAAACCCACTCCTTGACCTTCTCCACATACTCCTCATGAGTAATGCCTTTGTGTGCCCAAGCGCCCCCTAGGCAGCTTCTAACTGTTAATCCACCAGAACAGTCCAGTCCTTGGCTGCTTCTGGCTGGGTCTGACAATTTAATTCAGACAGCAGAGTCTGCCAGTAACATCTTTGATCAGAGACATCTCTCTTTGCTGTAGAAGTCTTCTGCACCACTGCCCTTGTTGCTTATATTCTCCCTGTACCTTACATGACAGAGGCCCCTTCTCCTGTGGGAACTGCTCACAGTTGGTCATGTCACCTCTTCAAAGGAAGCACCTGCATGTCTTTCTGGACTGTCCCACGAGACCCAGGAGTACTGTGAAGGTCAAGGTAGGAAAAGGGACCTGGAGCTCATACTTAATTCCATGTGTCTACTGTACATTGCAAGGATGAGACTGGGACAGGACACACATGTATGTTCTTTTGTTTACCTTGTGGCAAACTGTGTGTACCAGGAAAGGATGTGGTGAGAGCTGTCTTCAGTTCTTGGGAAGGAGAAGTGGAGGTCACAGTTTCTCTATGTGTCTTACTTTATAAACAGCTTAGATTCAATGTTATCCTCAGACAAGAGTACGTTGGGTGCTTGTCATTTGGTGGGTGTCACTGAGCCCTTCTTCCATGTTCCTGCAGCTGTTGGAGACCAGTATTTCTTCACTGCTGATGTCTGCTATCTCCAAGGATGGGGTAAGTATGGTGTGGGGGCATCGAGCATGTTCTGTGCTCTTGGACCTGTGTGAAGTCACTTTAGGAAGCCCCTTTGCTGTATATGTTCACTTACAACAAATCCTATCATAAGTCACTCACATTGAAACATCCATCTTGTCCTATCATGCATCATAGATGGTAGGGTCAGATCCTTCCAGTTTGGAAATGGGATTCTTTTCACATCAGCTTTTAGACACTGGAAATCTTCCTCTGTGGATTCTGTTATAGACATATAACCTGGAGACTAGAGCTTCTCCATGCCTTCCCAGTCACAAAACAAGATTACCTAAGACGTGCTTTTTATTAATTAATTTACTGATTTGTGCATGCATACATGTGTATCAGTCTATGCATCAGTAAGTACATGCCACAGTGTACAAGTAGATGTTAGAGGACAAACTTGTAGGAATCAGGTATCTCTTCCTACCCTGTGGCTCCCAGGGATTAACTGAACCTGGTCATCAGGTCAAGTTACCTACTGAACCATTTTGCTGGCCCTGAGGCACTTTTTAGCTTTTTATAGCTGGATATGACAGACTCTGAATAACTGAAAACATTATTGCTATTTCTCAGAATTTTTGGGTTTGGGTTTGCCTTCCCTAAGAATTACTCTAGCAAGATTTAATAAATTGTAGCACATGCATCCAAGTAAAGAGTTAGCACATTATGAAAGTTGGTCCTCACTGTGGGACTTCTGTTCTTTGAAATGCCATTTACCTTGTAGAAGCTGTGTAAGGACACTGTAGGGGAGCTGTAACTCAGTTGGTGGGGTGCCTGACTGACTGCAGTGTCTGAGTGTAGTCTGCAGTGTTGCACATAACTGAGTGTGGTAGTACATAGCTGCAAACTGGGAGTGGAGGCAAGATCTAAAATTCAAGATCAGCTTTAACTACATAGCAAACTTGAAACTAGCCTGTGTCTGCATGAAACCCTGTGTATAATAAATGCACTGTGGATAACCCAGAAAAGGGTGTCAGGGACCTGCATCCGTCTTGTCCAGTGTACCACATGGAAAGATGACCATACCAACTTTGGCTACCAAGCAGGGGTATTCTCTTACTGGTCCCCATGGCCAGATTCCAGCCTGAATGTGTGGGGTATTGGCTCTCCTATTGGGTTTCTCCTTGGGCCCTCTTGCCTGTCTGTCCCATGCCAAAAAGGACAGTGGAAACACTGAGCCACCATTAACCCCTCTTTTATCTAAACCAGGGCTGTCAGGGTTTGAATAAAATTGGAAGATGCATAAATAAGCTTTGAGGATTATTGGTCTGAGCTGTGGTACCAAGTTTTGTTCCCCTGGAATAAAGCCTACCAGCTTTAAAGCTCCTCGGTGCCCTTGTACTCTGCCCTGGAACTTTCACCTGAGCTGCTGCCACTACTCTCACTGTTGTCCAAATGAAGAGTGATGCTTTGGCACCAAGTTAGAGGAGACAGCTGACTTTCTTACTCTGTAAAAGTCACAAGTCAGCATGGCCTAAGAATTTCTAGCCCATTGCATTGTTCACACATGGTCCTCACTAACTGTTGCCCTTCTCCACAAAGATATCCAACCAAGGTAGCTGTTATCACTGCAGAAAGGAACAGCTGGTAGTTGGTAGTTAGCCAAGATAAGAAGCGTGAGACAGGAACGTGAAGAACTTAGAGTGTTTCAAAGGGCACAGAAAACAGTGTATACTGGCTGAAATCGATCTCCTTTTGGTCTTTATGGGAGGGAAGATGAAACAATGGCTGACACTGGACCAGGAAAACAGCGAAACTGATGTTAGAGGTTCCCATGGCGGGGATATAGGTGCTCAGGTGGGGGCTTAAATTGGATCATGGTTTTCTGAGAGCATACCCCATGGAGAAAGCTGGGGAAGCATGAAAAGTCCTACTTGAAGGTAAGAAAAAAAATGTACCCAACTACATAAACAAACCTAAGACCCACAACCATCAATATCTATATTCTGATCCATGGTGCATACAGAGTGATATCTGCCCTCTGACTCAGTGGCCACCATGAACACTGATGTCCTACAAAGGCAGTGTCTAGTGCTCTCTTTGGGGATCCAGACATCAGGGAACACTGGCAGAAATCCTCCCTCTTTGACTTCCTCTCCAACACACTTAACTTTTCTATCCGAATGCTCTGGTAGCTGAAAACTACTGATGGGGCTTGGAAAGGCATGTGAGCATATATTCCTGCATGTGGACGTGCAAGAGTGCATGAACTTGTGCATGGACACTGGCAGTGCATGCAAGTGTGTGTAGGAGAGCATGCATTTGTGTATTAGGAGTCTACTTGTATATTGTACATGCATGTACATTACCTGTGTATGACACTTGTACATACATGTGTACAGATGTTAAATGAAATGACACAGGGAGGTCATAGATCTTGGTGTCATCTTTGTAGGTGCTCTAGTTTCAGAGCTAAGTGTTCCTTCCATGTCTCTTATTATTTTCCTTAACTAATGTCTAAGCATGAAAAAGATGACCCAGAAACTCCCATGTTTTTCTCTGGTAAAAGTATGGGCAAGCCAAGCTTAGAGCACATTTAGCAAGCTCTCTCCACTGCTGACAGCTCCATTCAGTGACCAGCAGGACCTTTGTCTCTGGTCTGAAGTGGAGCCTGACAAAAGATGGCTGTTAAAGGCCTATGGGCAGACACAGCTGCAAGTTACCCACTCTGTGGGTTTTCTGGGTGAGAATGAACAGTCACAAAATTCAGAGAATCAAATCAGGGCTCTCCATAAAACATCCCCTGGAACAAATGTTCTACTTCCAGTTAAGCTGCATGAATATAAAATTGTTTGTGTTTATTGTGGTCATACTGTGAATATGAAAACAACAGGATTAACTGCTGTTATTTTTGCTGTTTCTCACTAGTGACATTACAGTGATGTGGTGTTGAAATATGTTCTCTCAACTTTCAGAAAATGCACACATATTTAAAAACAGTAGACACAGGAATTGGCTGTAGTTCAGCAGAATAGTAGTTGCCTAGCATGCAGGAAAAACTTGGGTTCAATCCCAGCACTGTTACATTTTCTCAAAAAGGCATGAAATTAAATTAATACTTAAAATCAGACAGACATATGAAGATGTATACTCACAGATAGTACATGAATTTGCTGATGTGAATGTTCCCCAAAATACATTTTACATAGAAATGATTTTTTACTGACCTTTATGAAATCCAAAGTCCATTCTTACGAGCTGAGCATGGAGTTTCACCCCTGTAACTCCAGCACTTGAAAGGTGAGGCAGGAGAATCTGGAATTTAAGGTCAGCCTCGGCTACATAGTATGAGACTGTGCCTCAGAAGAAAACAAAAAAACCCATACTTTTACCGGAGAAAAACATGGGAATTGCTGGGTCATCTTTTTCATGCTTAGACATTAGTTAAGGAAAATAATAAGAGACACGGAAGGAACACTTAGCTGCCCCTCTTCCCTTGTCCTTCTACCAACTATTGGTGCCCTGATCCTATGCTTGTGCTCAGGGCAGAGTGAGCTTGTTGTCCACACAGGGAACTTGCAGCAAACACCTGCCTCCTGCCAGTTCTCTCATCTTCCTCCTGTCCAGCAGTTCTCATTTTCCTATCGGGCTATTGAACCACACTGTAGACCTTGCTCATTTTGTACTAAGGAATCCAAAACTTTACAAGTAAGAAGTAAATTCCACTGGGAAATTGAGTCAACATGTGTTATGCTCACATCCCAAACTGATCCTCTACAAACAAAACATCCCGTACTTGCAAGCAGACAGTCGTTCTGGGCTTCATTGGGAAGTTCATGTCTGCTCCATTTGCTGGTGTCTTCAAGGCAGGACTGCAGTTCCAGAAGCCTCCCCAGACAGGGCTCCTGGCCCAACTTCCTGGTAGTGCATGACTGGGTTGGCCAACTTTTCTAACTAAGCTTAGGACATTACTATGTCCCTTCTGCTGCTCATGAAAACAGTCACTGTGGCCAGTCCAGACTTGGGGTAACACAAGTAGAATGCCAAGAACCAGAGTCTATGTTGACCACATTTTCTGACCATCTCCTTGGCCCCACTGAAAATGCTCTGAAATTGAATTTGTAAAAGCCCAGATAGAGCACAACCACACCAGGAACAGGAACCCTGTTGCCCAGAACCTGTGTTTCTGCTGGAGATGAAATTTCCACAAGATTAACTTTTGAATAAAAACCCAAGTCACATTGCCACTGCACAGAAAGAAATGTTAGCCCTGTGAAACTCAAGAAGAAATGGAATACAGTTGAAGAGAGAAGTTTGGGGCAAGCACCAGGAAATCCTTTGACCAGAAGTGTTGCTAGATTGGGGAAGTGTCCCCAAAGGAAGTGGGAGACATGCAAGCCAAACGCTCAGCCCCCATGGAAGGATAGCACTTCCTCTGCACATTGTCTCCAAATCCTGTCCTAGGCCACTTTATCCTGGCAGCCCAGAACAGCAAGACTCGACTATGAGAATAAATAAAGTAGTTCGTTTGTTTGCTATAATAAAGGTGGCTTTTATAGTACACCCTCACCCACCCACCCCCCAAAAACCTTTTCCATTGGAAGAAAGGTTGCAGTTTACAGAAGGGCCCTTTCCCTGGCCATGTATGTCATTGTTCATTGTTGGGGACAAAATGTGCAGGAGTCTGGGCCTGCTTTAACCTGCATGCTTCTCCCACTGCAGAGTTGTGAAGTGAAGAACGTCCTTGGGAAGAAGATGGGACCTTTACTCTGCTTTGTGCAGTCTGTCACCCCAGAGCAGACCAGCTGTGTCACCCTGGAGGAGATTGAGTTTCTGGATGCTTCCTGACATCCGGGAACTTTGCACAGAGGGTGGGGGCTTGATTTGGGGAGCTGTATTAACTCCACAGAGTATTTTTAGGGTTTTGAGTTTAGCGAGTTTCTTTTCTCCCCCCCCCTCGGGGAAATAAGATGGTTTTGTAAATTAAAAATCAAAATACCTTTTTTTACATTTTTTTAAAAAAATACCTTCCTAAAAGCTTAAGGACATGTTTCTAAAGCTTGAGCGTCCCTGTGGTCTTCATGTTGCATTACTAAGGCAATATTATTGATTTGTTGGGAAATATTTCTTTGTAATTTTAAAGTACTTAAGACTTTCAATATTTATACAATTTTTCTTCGAAGTATTAATGTTCTCTGGAAGACTATTCTGTAAAGCTTCAACCAGTATCTCATATTGAGATATTGGTGCTCTACTATAATAAATAAATGTGCAACCCATGCTCTTTGTGGTTTTAGTATTCTGGGGACTGCCAGAGACAGCACTGTCATCCACACAATGTAGATGAGCTGGTTTGTTGAGAGCTGCATTAAACTTCTATAGCTTGCTCCTCCATACCTGTCACAATCACAGCGAGCCACCATCCTGTGCTTTGGGCAGGATTTAAGTTACTAGAAGCTACATATTTGAACCCTGAACATTGTTTTCTTCTGTACAGCAGCATAGTAACAACAGGCTGTGATCTTAAAAGCTTTCTTAGAAGAAAAGCACAGAGCTTTTTTTTATTAAGCCCTCAAGCATTACAATAAACGGCATTGGGAGCTGTCCTTTTTATATACAATATGAATTTGCCCTGGTGCACACTTTGAAATCTACACAATGTCCCTAGGATTGAGGAAAGTGAAAGCAAAGCCACACAAGTGAAGATGAATCAGGTTTCTGACTCTCTCAGGCTCTCTTACACCCTCTCACCTGTCCTGTGGCAAGCCCCAACCCAGGTCTGCACTCTCTGGGATCTCATCATACCTTCCACCTAACATGGAGTAGCCACGCTTCCGCTGGAAATACTGAGCATGAGGCCAACTCTGCCACGCTTCCAAAGCAAGCCAACCCATCCATCTCCTTACCCCGTGTGGGCACCACACCTGGTCCCGTGGCTCCCAGGTGTCTGTTTTTCCCTGTTGAGGTCCCAGCACATTGTGTGCGGGAGAGACTGAATATAGGAAGCTGCGGCGATTTTAATGCTTCTTTATTCTTACAAATATTGTAAAAATTGATATAAAAAGCATGCGCAGTCTCTTCCACTTATCTACAAAAGTGTCGGAAAGTCTTCTTTCTACAAATGTACCATAGCTGCAATGGTATTAAGACGTAGAAAACGCTACCATTATAAAAATAATTTAAAGGGGGAGGGGGAGGAAGACTTATAGTTTTCTCGCAGTCCAGTGTCCAAGCTGCAGCTTCCGGTCGCTCACACACCCCAAGGAACTGCAGCAGCTCTGGCTGCGCTGCTCCTGGCCGGCCTTCGGGGTCTGAGGTATCGGTCGTTTGGAGTCTCTGAAGCCCACGCCGCATGTTACCGGCAGTCGGCGCCGGTGGGCGGCAGGAAAGGCGGGCTGGGCAGCTGTTTGAAGAACTGCCGGAGGCCGGCCAGGTCCCGCGTGAGCTGCTCCACGCGCTGGTGCAGCTTCTCGTTCTCCGCCGACAGCTCCACCAGCTTCTGCTGCATCTCCTGGTTGCGTCGCTTGGCCTTGTCGCGGCTCTTGCGCACAGCGATGTTGTTGCGCTCACGCCGCTGCCGGTACTCGGGACTGCCGCGGTCCGGACCCCTCTTGCCCGCGCCCTTCTCTCGGACAGGGCCGGGCACGAGACTCGGCCCTGGGCTGCCTCGAGAGGGCTCGGGCGACGTGGGCGGTGTGGGTTGCGTCGGGGCCATCAGGCTCACCACGGTCTGCGCGCACAAGGCCACTTGCGCGGGCAGAAGGGAGCCCGGCGCGTCGCTGTCGCCCCAATCGGGTTCACGCTTGAGCGGGCCCCGGACGACTGAACCGGAGCTTGAGGGTCGCGTGGGGCCGCCGGGCAGCAGCTCCAGACCGCCCGTGCCGGCCGTTTTGTGGTTGCTGTTGAAGAGGTCGGCGAAGAGCTCGTCGTGGCACAGCTCCAGGGTGGGCACGGCGGCCATGGAGTCAATGTAGGCGCTGAAGTCGATAGCGCTCTCGTCGTCGTACATGGCAGGGCCCGTGGAGCCCGACTCCCCCAGGTCTCCCGGCTCGAGCCCGCGGCCCGGCTTGCCCGCTCTGCCTGGCTCGTAGAAGGCGGAGGGTTCCGTGGGCCAGGGTGCGCCGCGCGCGGGGCTGTCCAGGCTGAAAAGCGCAGCGCTCATGGCGGCGTCGGCCCGACAAGGCATCCAAGTCCGGCTGTCACCTCGCCGGACCGGGCCGCCGCCTTTTCTAGCCCCAGCTGACGCGCACGCCCCGCCCCAGCACCGCGGGTCCCGGACCCGAGCGGGGAGGGACTGTCCGCGCTGCTGGGAACGACCCGCCCTCTGCCCGCACTCCCGACCCTCCCTCCTTCCTGTTTGTGCGGTTTGAAGCCTACTTAGTCCTCTGAGCCTGGAGCGAAATGATGAGGATTTGGCCCCGGCGCGCGCGAAGCGTGCTGCCTGAAGTCACTGCAGACGACGGCGCGAGTCCTTAAGTTTTAGCCTGGGTGCCTCCGCCGCGGGGCCTGGAGTGAACCTGGAGTCGGGAAGTCAGAGCCAGCGGTTGGAGCTCGCCGCTCAGCCTCCGCCCGTCTTGAGCCACCCCAGCCATCGGGCGTCTCCGGAAATTCGAACCACACTTCTCGGGCTCAACCCCACAGCCTGGTTGGACGTACGAATCGACGGGACCTCCCCGCTGACCTCAGAGCCACGGGAGAGTGGCGGCCACCCTAAACACCGTGCGTTCCTCAGCACCTGACAGCGAGCTTGGGTCCGCTGGCTTTCTTCCAAGTTATTGAACCTCTGCCACCTGGTGGTAGTATGGTATCTCCCAGTTTCGTTTCTTTTCTAATTGTTCCCAAAAGTAACTGTGGCTTTGCTGAAAGGTAAGATATACACCAATGGCTATAAAGAGGTGTGAAATTGCCAGCTCTTAAAACTGCATTTAAAAATTTGTTGCAAAATTCATGAAAAGATGAAGTGAAAATGCAGCCCCAGCTACTCAAGCGCTGAGGCTGGAGGGGCAATTGAGCCCAAGAGTTCAAGCTCCAGTCTCATACAAACATAAGTCAAGAAAAACTGTCCAAATTCAGGTGTTGTCCTTCTCCTTATCTTATCCATCCACCGGGTGTTTTAACCAACATCAGCTAGTCTGCACACAGCAGCCCTGCTCCTAACATCAGTTGCCCAGGAAAACCCTGTCTGTGGAATATTTAATGGATTTTCTGGAAAGGGTAAACACAGCTGTGGCACATGATGTCGATATTTTAACTAATGTGCATGTGAGGTCGTGCACATGCAGAGGAAAGAACTAGAACAAACCTCTTGGTTCTTAGTTGTAGAAGCCATAGCCATACAAGCGTGACTAAGGCCCTCCCTCTCTAATCAATTAGGGAATGCTCTTTGTCTCTCACAGAGCCCTCATTTCCAAGGCTGTTTTCACGGAAACAGCCTGCTGTTTCTGGTACTTGGTCCACTCCCTACATTTATGAAAACTAAATTGTGTTTACAAGACAGTGGGGCCAATTAGAATGTCATAGATTAGGAAACCATTGGTATCTTTGTGCTGTACCTGAAAGCTGTGTGAAGTCTACCTTCAGAAACTTGCTAGCCAGTGAGTAGCAGTCACATGTGGACCTGAAGAGACCCTTCCCCCATTTTTAGAAAGAAAGGAGACATGACAGAACAACAAAATGTGAATTATTGTGACATTTAAAGACCCTTTAAAAATAACAGTCTAAGTTCTTGTGCCAGCTGTAGCCCTTTCATAACTGTCCCCTCACACTCAAGGGCCTGTCCTGGTGCTACATGTGACATGCACTTCCAGTGCTTTATGGCTGTGAAAAGCCCACCATCCTGTTGTTCATTTAAGCTTGTTCTCAGCACACCTGTCAAAAACTCCTCCTGGCTAGAATCCTTGATTCCTCCCCTTTGCCCTCTGCAACGTTTACACATGGAACATAGACGTTCTGAAACCTTGGTGTTTAATTAAAGGTTCAGGAGACTAGCAATGGTCAGAGATGGAAGGTCAATCTAGTTACCTGCAACGACAAACTAAGCTCCCTGGGAGCCTGTCTGTGCATTTCATTCCCCACAAGAACAGTTCTCTGGATGGAACACTCAAATGGGAAGCATTTCTGAATAGTCCTAGATAAAATTAAATACGAAATCAAGTTTGAAGAGAAGTAAAACTTAGTTGACCTTGGTGCTCTCACAAATTTTATTTCCAATATCAGATTATATACTTCAAATTATTTTTACTTATTGTATGTGTGTTTTGGGGAGAGAGAAGTAGGGAAGGACACATTGTAGCATGCATTTGGAAGTCAGGGAACAATTTTCAAGGGTCAGTTGTCTCCTTCCATCTTGTAGGTTCCAGAAATGGAACTCCAGTTAGCAGCCTTGGGAACAAGTGCCTTTTCCTACTGGAGCCATTTTTGCAGCTTTTTTTGTAAACCTTTGCCCTAGAGCTATTTTTTATTATGTTTTCTTACGTGTTGTCTCACAATTGTCAGGTTTATATATATTATTATTTCCGAAAAAAAAGTTTTTTTTTTCAAGCTAAATCATTAAGTTTGGAAAAGGGAAGACAGAGTTCATAAGAATAAAACTATGGAACTAGGATTGCTCATCCCTCATGATTACTGAAGTGTGGACTTCATTTAAACCTAAAGGACAGATGTGGTGCACACCTGTAATCCCAGCATTCAGGAATTGAAAGCAGAGGATTATGGGTTTGAAGCCAGCTTGAGCTACATACTGAGGCCATGAATAAAGGAAAGAAAGTTGTGATATGTGGTGCCTGAATGAAAATGTTTCCCATGTTTGAATACTTGGTCCCCAGTTGGTGGAGCTGTTTGAGGAGGATTAGAAGGTGTGGTCTTGGAGGAGGTGGGGGGGGTCAGCTTTTAGGTTTCAAAAGACTCCAGCTGTTGTCAGCATTCTCCCTCTTACAGTTTAAGATGCAAGCTCTTAGCTGTTCTTGATGCCATGCCTTTGCTCAGTCGTCATGGACTTTAGCCCTCCAAAACCATATGCCCAATTAAAACTATTTCTTTTATAAGTTACCTTGGTCAGATTCCTGCCAGGGAAGCAGTTAGGCTGACTGCAGACCTTCACCTCCCCTGCCCCTTTAAATCCAGTCCCCAGTCTCACCCCCAACTCTGCAGCAGAGCACCTGCTGTGGTCTCCCTTTGTTCTCTGACCCCATTCCCAATGAATCACAAAGATCTCCTTCAAATTTCCTTCCCCCTACTCATTTCATTGTTACCCCAGCTTCCAACACCAGCAGGAATTCCCTGGGAACATACCAGGGAGACAGGCAAGCTACCTGAAGATCATCACCACCCCCTCCTCTCTTCCCAACCTCATCCCCCAGTCTCATCCTTAGCTCTGCTACAGAGCAGCCTCCCTCTCTGCCTACATCTCCTGTGGGTCCCACAGACCTCCCTTACCCGGCTCATGGCTTTATCCCAGCCCCCAGCTCCCTGCTAACCACAGGCTGCCCTGCCATGGAAGCAGGTAGGCTGTCTGTAGATCTTCACCTCCTCTCCTGTTCCTCCGGATCAAACCCCCAGCTATGGCAGACCTTCTGGGGTAATTTCTTTTCACTCTATTCTCATCCCAAGGAAATCAAGTAAACAGATCCTGGTGGATCACTCCCCCTGTGGACCCCTCAAGCCCCTAGTTTACCCCCTTTCCTAAGTGTCATCTCCCAATACCCAGAAATACATTGTACCTTCAACCACCAGAGGCCACACCTGTCAGGTCCACAAAAAATCTCCTACCAAACAACACAACTAAAATTTGAGGAAACAAACCAAGGAACAAAACACCCAACAAAGACAAAACCAGATATCACCTTGTCCTATCAACTTCCCAATCCCAGATGCCTAGATGCCAGCATAAAAATAAAATTGATAACAGCCAGGATGATACATTTCCACTAGAGACCAGCAACTCTACCACAGCAGGCCCTGAGTGTTCCAGCATAGCTCAAGCTCACAGAAACAGCCTTAAAACAGCCTGTATGACAACGACAGAGGTCCTTAAAGAGGAAATGAAGAAATCCAGGAAAACTGGGGGGGGGGGCAGGAGCCTGCTTGGCACTATAAGGGCTGAGCAGGAAAAGATCCACAAGCCTGCCTGGGCCACCATTATGGGGAACAAATACATTATGGAGGAGGGGAGCAGAATGATTCATGTCCTGTGGAGAGAGGCAGATCTGAATTGGTGAGGTGGGTGGCGGGCTTGCCACCTGAGGCAATGGTGATATCCCTGCCTGGGCTGCTACCAAGAATCATGTCTGCATCCATGATGCTGCCACAGCAATGGTCTGTGTTGATGTCCATGGCTCCTGCTACCACAAAAGACCAAGTGAATAGGGCTGCTCAGAGAGTGAACCCTGCATCTTGCCTGGACAGCATAGTAGAGCTGGATCTATCGATGGGGGATAGGGGTTGAACCAGCTCACACAAAAGAAGCATGGGAGAACTTATATGAGAGCCCAAGTTACAGTCTAAGTTTTAATTACTATGCCATAGAGATCCATGAAACAAAAATGCCTCTGATCTGCAAACCCCTTTGCCCAAGGACAGAGAGTTCCTGAAATGTCAGAGGCTGTTGTTTATGGGAGATAAGAACCCATGTCTTCACTCCCCTAAACAAGTTTATTTGACTCATCTGTACCAGATGTGCTTGATCACATGTGGGCAGGAGGTTCACAGGCTGGAGGTACTTCAGATATGTGCTTGCCCCAGACTACCTGATGAAAAATGCTATGAATTATGGGTTATCCTTCATAACCCCTTGCCATACTTGATTCTGGGCCATTTCCCAGTAAGCTGGGTATGGACCTGGCCAGAGTCCATCCACCTGGCCAGTATTTAAAGCTTGATTCAAATTTGACTTTAAACTGTGGTTGTTGTTGGAAACCAGCAGTCTGCTGACCCCGCCCCCGATGATAGGCAGGATGCATGGCCTTGTCATCACTCATTATGGGGTTGCATAGGGGACTCAGTTTCCCTTTTAAAGCAAGTGCGACCCCCTCTTTCTCTCTCTTCCTCTCTCTCTTCTCTTTCCCTCTCTTGTTTTTGGTTGGCCACCAGCTACCCCCTCTTTTCTCTCTCCCCCTTCTCTCTCTCCCTCTCAACTCTTCTGTTACTGATGCCTCTATGTCTCTTCCCTTCTCCCTCACTCCCCTTTCTAAATAAACTCCTCATTTAAGCTCTATCTGCCTGGCGTGTTATTCCCTCCACCTAGGTCACCCTCAC